AGAGGGAGAAGCAGGCTCCCTGCGGGAAGCCCGATACAAGACTCGATCCCAGGACCCCGGAATCACGAATCATGCCCTGAGCCAAACACAGATGCTCAGCCACTGAGCCACCCAGGCACCCCGAGGTTGTGCATTTTTGACACAGAAGTGATGTTGTGCCCTTTGTACTACATGGTGTCAGAAGGCACATGAATAGGACAGGGCTCATCACTGTGTCCCATTAACTTTGATCATTTGATTACAGTGGTGCCTGGCTGTTTTCTTCACTGTAAAGTTACTATTTTACCTTTATATTTAATAAGTATCTTATGGGGAGTCACAAATGCGACTAAACAAATACTGAGGTCTAAACATTTTTTTTTCCCCAAAGAGTCTAAATATTTTTAACAGTAGTTTTTTATTGAGATGTAATTCACATTCCATATAATTCATCCATATAAATTTGATGGTTTTTCGTATATTCACAGAGTTGTACAACCACAATCAATCTTAGAACTTATATCACTTCCAAGAAAGAACCCCATACCTAGAGACGGTTATTCCTAGTTTTCCCCTAAGCCCTGGGCTCTAGATAGCCACTAATCTACTTTCTTTCTATAGATTTGCTTGTTCTAGGGCAGCCCCGGTGGCACAGCGGTTTAGCGCCGCCTGCAGCCCGGGGTATGATCCTGGAGATCCAGGATCGAGTCCCGCATCGGGCTCCCTGCATGGAGCCTGCTTCTCCCTCTGCCTGTGTCTCTGCCTCTCTCTTCGCTCTCTCTGAATGAATAAATAAATAAATCTTTAAAAAAAAAAAAAAAAGATTTGCTTGTTCTGAATGTTACCTATAATTGGAACCATGCCATATGTACTCTTCTGTGACTGGTTTCTTTCACTTAGCATCATGTTTTCACAGTTCATTCATGTCATGGATCAGTATGTCATTTTTTTGTTGAATAATAATACTCCATCATATGCATATGATACTGCTTGAATGTTTGTTTATAAGCTATCATGTGGACATGGGTTTTCATTTCTTGAGTGTATACCTAGGAGTATAATTGCTAGGTTATATGGTAACTCTGTGTTTAACCTTTAAAAAAAAAAAAAGTTTATATGTTTATTTATTCATGAAAGACCCAGAGAGAGGCAGAGATATATATAGGCAGAGGGAGAAGCAGGCTCTATGCAGAGAGCCCATGTGGAACTCGATCCCGGGACCCCAGGATCATGCCCTGAGCCAAAGGCAAGTGCTCAACCACTGAGCCAACTAGGTGTCCCTTTGTTTAACATTTTGAGGAACTGGCAGACTATTTTCCGGTGTGGCTGCACCATTTTATATTCCTTCTGGCCAGATATGAGGATTCTGATTTCTCTACGTCCTTGCCAACACTTGTCTTTTTTATTATAGCCATCCTAGTGGAAGTAGTATCTCTTTGTGGTTTTGATTTGCATTTTCCTTATGGCTACTGGTCTTGTGCATCTTTTTACATGTTTATTGGCTATTTGTATATCTTTAAAGAAATTATATCTCTTCATTGCCTTTTTTTTTTTGTTGAGAGAAAGAATGTATGTGCGTGGGGGTGGGGGTCACAGTGAGGTGGAGGGAAAGAGAATCTTAAGCAGGCCCCGTGCCTAGCAGAGTCTTTTGCGGGGCTTCTTCTTTTAACCCCAAGATCATGCTCTGAGCCAAAATCAAGAGAAGGACACATAACTAATAACTTCACCACCCAGTGGCCCCCCCCACTTTTTTTTTTTAATTAATGTATTTCTTTTTTAAGTAGGCACTCACCCAACATGGACTTGAACTCATGACCTTGAGATCAAGAGCCATACTGTCCTGCCAACTGAACTAACCAGGCATCCCTCGTTGCTCATTTTTTGTTGGATTATTTATCTTTTTATTATGTAAGGGTTTTTTTTTTAGGTATTGTATTATTCATATCATTTATCTCCGATTCTTTACTTGCTGTTCCTGTTTTATATTTCTAGTATTCTCCTTTTGAGGTGATTTATTATACTGTAAAATTCTTTTCTCTGTCTGGTCCATTACTTAAGACAGACAGACAATCTACACCAGAGGAAACATCTTTTTTTATTTTTTTAAGATTTTATTTATTTATTCATGAGAGACACAGAGAGAGGCAGAGGGAGAAGCAGGCTGCCTGCAAGGAGCCTGATGTGAGACTCGATCCCAGAACTGGGATCATGCCTTGAACCAAAGGCAGACACCCAACTGCTGAGCCACGCAGGTGTCCCAAGGAAACATCTTTTATAGTATTTGTCTTCTCCCATGCTCAGGCCCATGTCTCCTGGAGACAGCCACTCTCATCAAAATATGCTTCTGGGATGCAGATGCAGAAGCGTACACCCCGAGTGGCTCAGTTGGTTAAATGGCTCTTGATTTTAGCTCAGGTCACGATCTCAGGGGATCGAGCCTCATATAGGCCCCATGCTCAGCATAAACTCTGCTTGTCCCTCGCACCCTCTTGGTTTCTCCCCCTCCAGCATAGGCACACACCCATGCTCTCTGTTATCTCTCAAATAAATAAATAAATAAATAAACAACTAACTAACTAAATAAATAAATAAAATCTTTTTAAAAATCTGATCCAAACCCCTTATTTAAAATCCAGCAGTTTGGGGATCCCTGGGTGGCGCAGCGGTTTGGCGCCTGCCTTTGGCCCAGGGCACGATCCTGGAGACCCAGGATCGAATCCCATGTCGGGCTCCTGGTGCATGGAGCCTGCTTCTCCCTCTGCCTGTGTCTCTGCCTCTCTCTCTCTCTCTGTGTGACTATCATTCATAAATAAATAAATAAATAAATAAATAAATAAAAATATAAATATAAATATAAATATAAATAAAATCCAGCAGTTTAAGGGACACCTGGGTGGCTCAGCGGTGGAGCATCTACCTTTGACTCAGGACGTGATCCCAGAGTCCTGGGATCTAGTCTCTCGTCGGGCTTCCTGCATGGAGCCTGCTTTTCCCTCTGCCTATGTCTCTGCCTCTCTCTCTCTGTGTCACTTGTGAATAAATAAATAAAATCTTTAAAAATAAATAAATAATGGATGCCTGGGTGGCTCAGCGATTGAGCATCTGCCTTTGGCTCAGGGCATGATCCTGGAGACCCGGGATGGAGTCCCACATCGGGCTTCCTGCATGGAGCCTGCTTCTCCCTCTGCTTATGTCTCTGCCTCTCTCTCTGTGTGTCTTTCATGGATAAATAAATAAATAAAATCTTTAAATAAATAAAATTAAATTAAAATAAAATAAAACCCAGCAGTTTGGGGCTCCTGAGTGGCTCAGTCAGTGAAGTGTCTGTCTTCAGCTCAGGTCATGATCCCAGGGGCCTGGAATCACATCCAGCAGGGATTCTGCTTCTCCCTTTCTGTCTGCCCCTCCCCCCTGCTCATGCTCTCTCCCTTTCCCTCTCTCAAATAAATAAATAAAATATTTTTAAAAATAAATAAAATCCAACAGTATTATTAACTAAATCGTGGTGTTGGCTGTTCTAGGTCCATTTTTTCAAGCATAACAGACACTTTGAACTTGTTAGTTTCAAGTACATTTTTTTAATTTCAGGGAAGTTTTTAGTATCCTGGGGATTTTTTGTTTTGTTTTTTTGTCTTCAGGAACTCCTATTATCTGTATAATAGAACTTCTTTGTAGTCAGTGTTTGTCACGTTGTCTTGAATCTTTTTTATCTCTTCAAGTTTTAACATTTTACAATGAAAGTTTTCAGCCCTGCAACAAAGTCAGAACAATTCTACAGTAAGCACAAAACATAGACACACCATTTAGATTTTATCATTGACATTTTAATATACTTATTTTATCATAATGGATTTCTATCTTTTATTTTTTATTTCAGGTTATTTGTAGACATTAGTACCCTTCCTTTTAAATAGTTTAGCATGCATTTCATGCTAGAATTCCATATTTGTTTATAGTGTTTTCCTTTTAATGTCAAATTTATATGCAATGAAACGCACAATTCTCTAGATTATATTCATTGAGGGTTTGGAGGGAGTTAGCTTTACTGAAATATAATATGTGCCTGGGTGGCTCAGTGGTTCAGTGTCTTCCTTCAGCTCAGGTCATGATGCTAGGGTCCTGGGATTGAGCCCTGCATTGGGCTCCCTGCTGGGAACCTCCTTCTCCCTTTGCCTACGTCTCTGCCTCATCTCTCATGAATCAATAAATAAAATATTTTTTTAAAATTTACCTATAAAATTCATTTATTATAAGTGTTTGCTTTTGGTGGTTTGTAGTTAATTCAGAGTTGTGCAACACACATAGCAGTATAATTTTAGGATATTTTCATCACCCCATAAAGAACCTCATGCCCATTTTTAAAAAATGTCACTCCTTATTCCCACCCTCAGCCTTTAAGCAACCATGGATGTAATTTCTGTCTCACTCTGTTTTCCTTTTCTAGGCATTTCACATAAATGCAGTCATGTAGTATGTGGTCCTTTGTATCCGGCTTTTCTAATTTTGCATGTGTTTGAGGCTCATCGTGGTTGTGGCAGGCTTGTGTCAGTGGCCAGTCTTTCTTACTGCCCAGTAATAGTACATTGACTGCATGTGTTGCGTTCTGCTTACCATTTTATTTACATGGGAATTATTTCGTATGGGTTAAATGAGTCACACTGCCATGAACGTTCTTGTACAAGTTTTTATCGGGACATACACTTTCATTTCTCCTGGGCATATGCCTAGGAGTGGAATTGCAGAGTCCTGTGTTAACTTAATGGTTAGCATTTTGAGAAACTGCCAAACTTGTTTTCTCAAGTGGCTGCAACATTTTACATTCCTGCCGTCCATGGACGAGAGTTCTGGGTTCTCCACAACTAAGCTTCATGAGGGCAAGAACGCTAGTCTCAGATTCATCTTTCTGTGCTGGGGCCTAGCCAGGGCACACCACCCGGAGGCTGTTGGTGAGCATTGCTTGGCTTGCAGGGACTCCCTTAGCCCCTGCTTCTCACTTTGCACCTTTTGTTTTTCTTTCCTAGGGACTCAGCTGGGAGTTTCCGCTTCTCTGAAAAAATGCCGGAAGACCTCAACAGATGCTGGGAGGCAACCCTTCTCTGGAAAGTCCTTTTATCTGGATCTGCCTGCTGGCAAAAGTCTCCAGTTTTTGACGGGGGCCATCCAGCAGCTAGGTGGGGTACGTAATCTACTTCTGACCTGCGATATGTGCCTTTGGGAGTTGTAGGGCAGGAGCTGGAGAGAGATTCTCTCTGTGACTTCCAGGTATTTTTAGTGGTACGATCAAAGCAATTTTAAGTATAAGCCTTTTTTTTTTTTTTAATAAAGTTAAAAATTGTTCCCAGTTAGAAAAGTATCTGAGAAATTTTGCAGAACATAGAACTGTTCCAAGTGAAAACCATCATTTTGATGTATTTTCTTCTGGACTCTTCTTTCTCCCTCTTTGTTTCACAGCTTTATTGAGATGTAATTCAGGGACGCCTGGGTGGCTCAGCAGTTGGGCGTCTGCCTTCAGCTCAGGGCATGATCCCGGGATCCGGGATCAAGTCCTGCTTTGGGCTCCTTGTGGGGAACCTGCTTCTTCCTCTGCCTATGTCTCTGCCTCGCTCTCTCTCTCTCTCTCTCTCTCTCTCTGTGTCTCTCATGAATAAATAAATAAAATCTTTAAAAATAAAAAATAAAAATGAAGTGTACAACAGTCAATTGTAGAACATTTTCATCACCCCAAAACAAGCCCATACCCATTGTCAGTCACTCCCCGTTTCTCCTAAACACCCCCAACCTGGGTAAGCATTCATCTATTTATGTATTTTTCCCCCTTTATAAAATTTTATTTTATTTTACTTAGAGTAGGGAGGGACAGAGGACAAGGGAGAATCTTAAGCAGGCTCCACACCCAGTTCAGAGCCACACAGCAGGTTCCATCTTACAGCCCTGAGATCATGACCTGAGCTAAAATCAAGAGTCAACATGTTTAACCACTGAGCCACCCAGGTGCCCCATTGCTTTTTTGTTGTTGTTCATTTTCTGTGTAGCTATGATTATGAATACTTTTTTGATTATCAACTTTTTGCCCATATCCCTAACACATTAGCACTTTCCTATCATTGTCTCTCATATACATTATTTATAGTGAGAATATAATATCTTTGAGTGGATTATTAATTTATTTAATTGTTACCTTATGGACATTGAGATTATTTTGTTATTTTAGATTTTTAAAATAATGGGTGAAAAACTTTGGGTAGGGATGCCTGGGTGGCTCAGCAGTTGAGTGTCTGCCTTTGGCTCAGGGCATGATCCCGGAGTCCTGGGATTGAGTCCTGCATCAGGCTCCTTGCATGGAGCTTGCTTCTCCCTCTGCCTGTCTCTGCCTCTCTCACACTCGCATGCGCCCTCTCTCTCTCTCTCTTTCTCTCTCTCTCTCTGTCTTTCATGAATAAATGAATAAAATCTTAAAAAAAAAAAAGTTGGACACTTAACAACTGAGCCACCCAGTTGTGCTGAGTGTCTAGCTTTTGATTTCAGCTCAGGTCGTGAGATAGAGCCCTGTGATATACTCCACACTGGGCGTGAAGCCTGCTTAAGATTCTTTATCTCCCTCTCCCTCTCCCCCACCCCTACCTGCTTGCATGCAAGTTTCTCTCTCAAAAAAAATTAATTAACTTTTTAAAAAAGGTCTTTTTTCTCATGACTCTGGATCGGCTGAGTGGTTTCTCTGCTGGTGTCATCAGGGCTCACTCCTGCAGCTACATTTGGGTGGAGGGTCAGCTTGGCTGGAAGGACCAAAGTTGGCCTCACTTACACATCTGGCAGTTGGTGCTGGTTGCCTCTATATGGCTTCTCATGTGTCATTTGAGAAGCTTCTCACATATGTTGTAGGAATGTATAATATCATATGCATGTATAGTAAGCTGAGCCAACCTCTTTATACAGCAGTGTCATGGTAGTTTTCAGAGAAGTTGAAGAGAGAAGCTACAAGGCCTCTTAAGGCGTAGGCTCTAGAACATCTTTCACTACATTGCATTGTTCAAAAGGAGTCGGATGCAAGGCAATGGAAAAATGGGCTCTGCCTCTTGATGGGAGGAGCAGAAGTCATGTTGCAAAGGGGTAGGTGTACTGGAGTGGAAGGGATGTGCAGCCATTAAACCATATACTCCATTCATACGGGAAAGTCTTTGCCCTGCTCCTACTTGCTAACATTTGTTTTTGCCATATTACAGAAGGTAGATATGCTCATTTAAGCCATAACTTTATTTAAAAATTTTTTAAGATTTTTTTTTAAGATTTTATTTACTTATTCATAGACACAGAGAGAGAGGCAGAGACAGAGGGAGAGGGAGAAGCAGGCTCCATGCAGGGAGCTCCATGTGGGACTCGATCCCAGGTCTCCAGGATGACACCCCAGGCTGCAGGCGGCGCCAAACTGCTGCGCCACGGGGGCTGCCCCAAGTTTTTTTTTTTTTTTTTGACACAGAGAGAGACGGAGGGAGAGAGCAGGCGCAAGCAGGGGAGCGGCAGAGGGAAAGGAAGAAGCAGACTCCCCGCTGAGCAGGGAGTCCTGATAAGGAGCTCAGGAGCTCCATCCCAGGACCCCAGAATCATGACCTGAGCCAAAGGCAGACGCTTAACCAGAGCCACCCAGGCACCCCTCAAGCCATACCTAAGGATCCTTTTTAATTGTGACGAAATGTGTATAGCATAAACTGTGCCATTTTAATCATTTGTAAGTGTACAGTTATCAGCATCAATTACATTCATATGGCTGGGCAGCCTTCACTGCTTCCACAGCTTTTTATCCCCAAACAGACATTCTGTAACCAGTGAGCAAGAACTTCCCACTTTCCTTTTCTGTAACCCCTGTCACTCAAATCTCCTTTCTATCTCAATAAATTTGCTTATTCTAGAGCCCTCATGTCTGTGGAACCATGAATATTTTTCTGTTGTGTCTGGCTTATTTCACTTAGTATGATCTTTTCCAGGCTCATCCATGTTGTAGCCTCTGTCAGAACTTCATGTCATGGCTGAACAATATTTCACTGTACATATACATCACATTTTGCTTACCCATTCATCTGTTGGTCACTTGGGTTTTTCTGCTTTTTGGCTGTTATAAATAATGCTGCAGTGAACATGGCTTTACAAGTATCTGTTCAAGCTCCTGTTTCCAGTCCCTTGGGGTGCATGCGTAGAAGCAGAATTGCCAGGTCCTGTGGTAGACCACATTAACTTTTTTGAGGAACCTAAATGTTTGTTGATATTGTGTAGTTTTTTTTTTGGGGGGGTGGTTAAGTTCAGTGCCAAGTTTCTTAACCAGTCACCCTTTAGAGACGGCCATCATCCAGCCTTATTTTTAGTGGTGTGCTGGAGGTAGAGCCAACCATTAGCATCTCTTTCCAGTTCCACATTCAGTAACATCATTTTGGTAGCTTGAAATCAACCACAGTGAGAGTATTCACCCCCCAGAAACCGGCACACACTACAAAGCAGGGCTTTTTCCCTGGAGAGGGGGGTCATTAAGCATTCAGTGCCTTACTGCTGCTTATGTCCATCTTTTCTACTCCCCGCAAATGGGAGTTAAGTGTCCTTGTGTCTCAGGCACTGTGTTGGGCCCTTGGGATACAAAGATGTGTCAGATCCTCTCAATGCCTGTGAGGAGCTTACAGGTAGGACAAGCAGGTACTTGTGCAGCTGAGTAGTAGCCAGACCCTTTCTTGTTTCATATTTTTGCCTCTTTGGGTAGTGTGTCCAGATGCCCCGGTGTGTCTTAGCAGGAAAGCCATGGCCTGGGATCCCTGGGTGGCGCAGCGGTTTAGCGCCTGCCTTTAGCCCAGGGCGTGATCTTGGAGACCCAGGATCGAATCCCACGTCAGGCTCCCAGTGCATGGGGCCTGCTTCTCCCTCTGCCTATGTCTCTGCCTCTCTCTTTCTCTCTCTCTGTGTAACTATCATAAATAAATAAAAATTAAAAAAAAAAAAAAAGAAAGAAAGCCATGGCCTAACTAAGCTACTCTTGTGTCAGGCCCTGTCAGTGTGCTCTTACTCTGTGTAGACTCAGACCGGTCAAATAACAAAGCCCATGGCCTTCTGCTGCTGGGTCAAAAGAAGCTCTGGAGACAAAACCTGTATTTTATATATCTATATCTATCTATCTATCTATCTCTCTCTCTCTCTCTCTCTCTCTCTCTCTATATATATATATATATATATATATATATGAACCCTATTATGTTTCAGGATGATGTCTTCTTGGGGGCTCAGTACAGAACTGCATTTGGTCTATTAAAAGACATTGATTCTGAAACTTCTGGCAGCCAAGATTTCCTTCCCTAACCTCTCAAAGTCGATGATTCTACATCTGCCTTTTGGTTTTCAGCCACCTCTGTGATCTGGTTTCAGGTAATTGAGGGTTTTCTGAGCAAAGAAGTAAGTTACATCGTGTCCAGCCGTAGGGAGGCAAAGGCAGAGAGCAATGGGACAAGCCCCAGAGGCTGCCCCAGCCCCAGCGAGGTCAGAGGGCAGACGCCGTCCATAGTCCATCCAAAGGATGGCCACACCAGGCCTTCACAGAAGCCTGCAGACTCGGTAAGAACCTCATCGGGTAGGAAAGGTATGTTCTCTGAACAAAGGAATTAAGCCTCAGTGGGCCCTTGGGGTGGTCTCCAGCTTTAGTTTCATCTGGTTTAATTTAATCTCATTTGAATTCAGAGACTGAAAATATGTTATCATAGCTCTGGATCTAAAAACCTCAGCAGCTCATTATCCCCATGTTCTCCCTTCTGTGGTATGTTTCACTTTTCCTGGAACTTCCATGTCAGAGGTTCCAAAACAATAGGAAGGTCCTCTGTAAACCAGAGAGGGCTTGTTGAAATTGGCCCAGGCTTATCTGCGGGGGTGGGGGTGGGGGTGGAGATACTTAAAGAGAGGTCTTAGAACATTGGTGACACTTTGACCTCGGGTAAGTTCAGAACGCCTTCTCCACCTGGGTCTAAGCTGCAGCCACCGGTGGGTGACCTGGAACTGTTTGTGGCTTCACCTTTATGCCAGAAGGTTTTCTAGGCACTCATTCCCCTGCTCCTCAGCTGTCACTGCTCCCAACTTTCTAAGAGACGTGACTCCTAAGACCTCATGAGCGCCTGTGTGGAATATCTGTTTGTGCACACCTCATTGCTCTTCTCTCCTGCCAGGTCCCTATGAGCAGAGGGAAGGAGTTACTGCAGAAGGCCATCAGAAACCAGGTGAGTCGAGGGAAGGGGGCTGAAGGTGGGCGGCTCCGGCACAGGGGAGGTTTAACCTTTCTTCTGAGGGTCTTCTCAAGTACTGCTATAAAACGTACCACTTGTGAGATGTCTCATCCTTATTTTCTTACAAATGAGAAAGTAGACCTCAGAGAAGTTAAGTGATTTGTCCAGAGTCACCCAGGGTGGCAGTGGTAGAGTTGTATTTGACTCCCCAATCCTTCCATCTCCAGAGCCCAGCAAGAGCACCTCGAAGGGATGTTGGAGGACGTCTGTGCTGTACATAAGCCAGACTTTGTATGTCTTTTACAAGTAACTATTTATCCCTTTTGCAAGATCCAGAGCCATTAAAGTAAAGTGGTGGGAGGAGGAGTTAAGGTGATCTTATGAGAAAAGTGGGTAGTGACATTGAGAAGGGTGCTCGGGCTATGACAGGGGAAGGTGGTGTCGCTGCACTTGGGGCAGGTGCAGCCTGAGGCAGTCACACCTTCCTGCCCAATCATGATGACTGATCATGGTGACTGTCGCTGCTGTTTGTTGTGTCCTTACTGGGTGCTGAGAGCTTTCCTCACAGAGGCCCTCCTGACAGCTCCCTGAGAAGCCTGTGCTGCTTCCTGATCACAAGTGGCTGAGCAATGGTCTACCCATCCGGCAGTGGCCAGCCCATGTGGAGAACAGGGTCCTCCAGTGACTTGGAGTAGACCCTCCCACAACATCTCTTCAGGGGGTGACCCGGAGCCATTTAGGCCCCGGAGAGTCTCTTGCTCCTGCCTGACTGCATCATCCTTCCAGGAGAGCAGCAGTGGAGGAGGTGGTGGGAGCAGCAGTAGTCTCCTGACCAATGCCCGCTCCTGGGGAGTGAGGATCCTGCATGTGGACGGTACGGTTTCTACCTGGGGCTTCTGTGGTGGGGAGGTGGGGACTGGCTGGCAACATCCACTCTTAGAGGGATGTCAGCCAGTGTCAGCTAGCTGAAAGCAGATGTGCTCACTGTGTTGACCCACAAAGGTCAGGGTATGGAGACCAGCGGTAGTGATAGCAGGGCAAAGGTACTGGAAGATGCTCCTTTGTTTAACTGCGCTACATGTAGCTCTCCTCCAGCTGCTGTCATGATCCTGTTTCACAAACACAGAAATCCTCCTACTGCCCACAACCACTGATCAGGTTTTACTCTGTGTTGGGAATTAGCTCAATTAATCCCACTGCAGTCTTTCTTGCCCATTGTACATATGAGGAAATTGAGTCTTAGATAGTAGGTAAATTATCCATAGTTTTATCAGAAGTGAGGAGTGTGGCCCACATTCCAACCTAGTTTGACCCAACTAAATTTCATGTTCTTTCAGAGCACCTGGCTGGCTCAGTCAGTGAAGCATGTGACTCTTGATCTCAGGGTTGTTAGTTTGAACCCCACATTGGGTGTAAATATTACTTAAAAATAAACTCTTTTCTATTTTAATTTTATTTTTGTATATAAAGATTTTATTTATTTATTTGAGAGACAGCACAAGTAGGGAGAGAGGCAGAGGTGGGGAAAGAGAGACAAGCAGACTCCCTGCTAAGCAGGGATCCAGACAAGGGGCTCCATCCCAGGACCCTGAGATCATGACCTGAGCTGAAAGCAGTTGCTTAACCAACTGAACCACCCAGGTGCCCCTAAAATATTTTATTTATTTTAAGTAATCCCTGCACCCAACATGGGGCTTGAACTCACAATACCAAGATTAAGAGTCAAATGATTGGGCAGCCTGGGTGGCTCAGTGGTTTAGCACCACCTTCGGTCCAGGGCATGATCCCGGAGAACCAGGATCGAGTCCCATGTTGGGCTCCCTGCATGGAGCCTGCTTCTCCCTCTGCCTGTGTCTCTGCCTCTCTCTGTGTGTGTGTGTCTCTATGAATATATAAATAAAATCTTTAAAAAAAAAAAAAAGAGTCAAATGATCCACTGACCAAGCTAGCCAGGTACCCCAAAAATAAAATCTTAAAAAAAAATTTTTTTTTCATGTTCTTTGTTTTATGTAGGGTTGCCTCACAAGGTAACCACCTATTTGCAGGTTGTAATAAATTTACATTAGAATAGCTGTCCTGAATGGGCTGGCTGTGAAGGCCCTCATACCCAGTTCTACTTTGAGTCCAGAGGTCCCCCCCCACCCTTTTTTTGTTTGCTGAAGATTTTATTTCTTTGTTTAACAGAGAGTGCAAGCAGGGGGAATGGCAGACAGAGAGTGAGAAGCAGGATTCCTGCTGGGCAGGAAACCCAAAGCAGGGCTCCATCCCAGGACCCTGGGATCATGACCTGAGGCGAAGGCATACACTTAACCAGCTGAGCCACCCAAGCACCCCTAGGGTTTTCTCCTAATGACATCGTAGGGGCTGATCCAGATCCAGCTCAAGATGTGCCTGAGTGTTAGAGAACTGTGCTCAGGAAGATCCTGGTCTGGGATGTGGGGGGATCTATTGTCACTGGAAAATCAGCCATTTCTGATATGGTTTAATTTTCTGCCTTCCTGTGTGTAAGAGAAGCTCCTGCTGGGACTTCCTTCTAAGGCTGCATCTGAGTAACTCACATGGCTGAAAGCAGCTCTTCAGTGGTACCTAAAACCCTTGTGAGCAGCAAGGCACCTCCTGTTCAAGAGCTATACTCAGTGCTACCAAATAGCGTGAAGCCAGCTTAGGTACTTTTCCAAGGATAGAGGATGCAGCCCTTTATTATCAATAGGTGCAGAGATGACACATAACCAGAAGGTGGCAGGCAAGGCTGGTATGACCCAGTGGGCCAGGCCTTGAGAAGTTTAGCCCCCAGCCCCAGGAAAGAGCCATGCTGGGGAAATAAGGAATGGGAGCCTTTGGCCATAGTCCTCTGTTTCCTCCACAGAAATGCTGATGCATGTGCAGCAACTGTCTCTCAACGCTCTATGTGTGAAGAAACAAGGGCTGGAGAAGAAGCCAGAGGTAGGTTGTCCTACTGAGCTGAAGGGAAACGGATGGCTTGCAACAGCGAAGTCTGCGACAACTTTGGTGAATCCATGACCCACGCAAGCCATGTCTTCTGGCCATCCTGGAAAAAGTACAAGGAGTGCAGCCTCTCAGCATGTCCCTGGTGTCCACAGCCTCTCCTTTCAGTGCTCCCTACAAATCTCCCATGATACACTGAGGCATTCACCGTGGCCTAGGCCAGGGACTGCCTGTGGGTAGTCCTGGCCTAGATAAAACATAAATGCTCATGGCCTGCTGGCCAGGCTGCCATTCTGGGGACAGCTCTTGGCCCAGGAATGAGCCTGCAGATTGTATGGGTGGGGGCAGGGGATGTTGCAGTTTGAAAGAGCTGTCACCTTCCAAATTCTTATTTGGCTTTTCCTTCCTTTGCTGGAGTTAGAACTGTGTACCACACATCAAGAGAGCCCCGGCTGATTTTTAAAGCCACGGTGTCTTCACCTAGCCTGACTCTGAGGAAGGATTAAGCCTTATAGGCCCACCCCAGGGCCTCCTGGCACCCAGGAGCAGGGCCAACAGTGGTAGCAAACCAGTCCGTGCAAGGTGGAGCCCTCCACCTTAGTTCCCCTTGCCCCACACCCTCTGGTCTGCGAATCTTTGGGATTCTACTGCTGCTTAGATAGATTTGCATTGTTCACAATTCAAAAGGTTGTATGATGAAAGTCTCTCTCCCCTGTGACTCCTTTTCCCCAGCCATTGAGCTTCCTCCCTGAGATAAGCAGCGTGAACCATTTCTTGAGTATCCTCCCAGGATCCAGGCTTATACAAGCAGATAGGTCAAAAGGTCCCCCCCTTTTATGTAAATGCAGGGAATTTTTACTTTGCTTTGTTCACTTACTAATCTATTTTGTAGATACTTGGGTCTTCCAGAGTGAGTTGTGGGTGCAGTCTGCTGATATTCAAGGGGATAGGGAAAGCTTTGGGTTGTTTGCCCTGGAGGTGTGGCCTGGAGGAGAATTCAGAACTTCTGTGGGCCCAGAGGTACAGTCATGGGCTCATTGGATCTCTCCTGTCTCCCTCCCTGCTGAATCCTATTGATTTCTTGTTTTTTTCCATTTAGTTTGTAATATTAGCTTTATTTGACCTTGACCTAAACACTGGTCTTGACCAACAGGGTCCAAATACACAAAACAGGGCACAGGAATGTGAGAGGCATGCGTTTCATGTTTGTCTTGTAAGCTGACCTGGAACGACAGCAGTGCCTAGAAGATGAAAGCTGCCATGCATGGGCATCTGCTCTGCTTCAGGTCTATCACCTACTCCCTTTGCATCTGTCTCTCCATTGTCGCCACGACAGTGAGGCAGGCAGGTGCTCCTCACACCCTGGGCTGCACAGCGCGGGCCTGCACCCAGGTCCGGGGGCTCTGTACCTTCTGCTCTTCGCTGTGTCCTGCGTTCCCTCCACAAAATCAACTGCCATTGAGATGCACACGTGGGGCTTGCCAGTCATCACGTCCCCGGGGAGGCAGAGGGAGCCATTGTGTTGGGTCTGTTCTAGCTCAGGGCCCAGCCAACGGCAGGAAGCAAAGTGGGGCAGATTCACAGCAACTCGCCTCACCAGGCCCGCTTCCTCGACCCTCTAGCTCCCTTGCATCCTTAACCTATTTTCCCTTTCCATTTAGGGAACATGTCCAGCAGAGCCAAGAACGCGGAAAGGTCAGTGTGGTAGCTTTCCTCATCTAATTGCAGTCCCTCCCTCCTAAACGCTTCCCCACGGCTCCCTCTGTGGCAGCATCTGCTCGCTTTTCTGCGGCAGGAAGCAAGTCCAGGTTGTGTTGTCCTGTTGTGTTTGCAGGGCCTGAGCTTTGAAGACGAGAGGGCGGGAGAAGGGTATCCATGAGCGAGCCCAGAGCCGCCCAGCCAGAGCTTTTCTTTAGCGCCAAGACCCCACACGGCTGCTCTGGCTCTCGTACCCTCTGCCTATTCCTGGGCATTGACCAAAGTTCGGCCTCCTTTTCCTTCTGATTCAGGAGCAGTTTGGGGTGGGCAGTTTGACAGCTGCCTACCACTCTCCCAAATGCCACACTCCCTGAAACTGACAAACAGGCAGATTGACAGCCCGGCTCCCGGCCCCTCTTGGACCGCAAGAGAGTTTCTCCCCCTGGATGTTTCTCCCAAAGATGCTCTTTAAGTGGCATTTATTCATGCACAAGCAGGAGCTAAGAAAAGTCACTTGGCACCTCTCATATTCAAAATTCAAGGAAATCTGTGGGGGAATTGATTTTAATCACTGTCTCAGTTAATTAGAAAGACAAGAAATCGCCCCCAAAAAGTAATTAATGGGAGCTGCTGCCTTATGAGGAGTGAGGCTGCTTTTTGCTTGGGCGCTAGCAGAACCTCGAGCAGGTCTGTGAGTGAGGAGGCGCCACTCCAGGCGGATCTGGGGGCTGCTAGGTCTGCCCCGGCTCCCAGCCTGCTTTGGGTGTCCTTCTGACAGGGCTTCTGTGGGAAGTAGAAGTGGCTCTTAATACCTAAGAGATTTTGTAAACTATGTGAATAACCAGCTAGTAGAGGTTGAATCTCATGATTAACAGCAAATTCATCTTCCCAGCACCTCTTTGATCCTGTCCATCTCTGCCCCACTGCTATGATCCATAAACATTCTCCAGCTCTCTTCCTCCCTGCTTTTCTGCAGAAAACCTAGGATCCTTCTGAGGTGTCCTGCCTGAGAGTGTTCTCAGGCCCCTCAGGATTCAGAAGCAGCAAGAGGGAATGTCGGGGAAGGACCTGAGGCTTTTAGCCCAAACCAGCTGGGGCCAAACTCTGCCCCTACCCTCGCTCTAGTCAGGTTTCTAACCCTCAGCTGACAGCCTCCAGAACCCACACACAGAGCAGGGTCCTGTGTCCAGCTTTGGGGTGGGGGGCACTCCGTGGCCTCTCTCCTGTAAAGGAACTGTCACCCAGGATAGAGGCCAGAGGAGATAGGGGTAGGTGCCTGACCTCAGCCAAATGGAAAGGCATGCTTTGGGGTGGCGTGGGCTCCAGCTCTGCATAGCTCTTGGACCTTGGCAGAGCCTCGCCTCTGAGCATTTCCTGTGCGTGTGGCGTGGGCCTGGCACCGTAGCCAACAGATGGCTAATGTGCGCACTCTTCCTTTCCAGTGGCCAGGCTGAAGGCACCGTTCCTCAAAATTGAAGATGAGAGCAGGTGAGTGGTGGGGGGACCCCATCTCCCTCCCCTCAGCCCACCGGGCTGCATGGAAGAGAGGTGCTCAGGGGCCCCAAGCTGATGGGGTCATGGAGCCCCTCAGCCCTACACCTTCATCTTCCCCAGAAGCTGCTCTTTCCCCCTGTCCTGGAGAAGTCTCCAACAGACCAGGAGGAGCCTCTGAAGGTGGCATTACACAGTTGGCCCTCCTCTTGGTCATGAGTCAGAGGTTAGTGACCTGTGTGTGCATTACCTCCTTTTAATGCTCTGCTTTTATGAGCACACGATGTCCCGCCCAGGCTCATTGCTCCTTGTTTCCCCCTGGGCGTTCACTGGCACTTCCTACTGGACCTGTGCTGGCCCAGGACACTGCTAGAATGGTCCTCTTGGCTGAAGCCAGGGTACTGGGGGTGGTGCTGGTGATTCCCTTGTCCAATCGTCTTGAACTGGAAGCCTTTCTGTTTGGCTGTGCAAAACCAATTTCTGACACATGTGATCTTGTGGGGACCCTGGGAAAGAGTGGCATGAGGATAGCCTAGTGGGGAAACTGAGGTCAGAGAAATTAAGGGACTTATATACAGCCATTTGGCCAATGAGTCTTAGCCCAAGGTCAGCATCCAGGGTCCTGCCTAGTGTCCTTGCCTGGTGTCCTCTTCACCCTGCCCTGTCTGTCCACCAGTGGGGCCCCTTCTCATCTAGAGCAGGAGGGACATGTTGATAACCTGTGAGCTGTCAGGCCCCTTGGTTATCATTGATTCTCCAGTAAGTCCTAGATCAGAAACCTGTAAATCCATAATCACTTCAAAATAAAAAGTTGGGTGTTTGTTTGTTTGTTTGTTTTGTTTGTTTGTTTTTAAAGATTTTATTTATTCATGAGAAACAGAGAGAGAGGTAGACACAGGCAGAGGAGAAGCAGGCTCCATGCAGGAAGCCCGATGTGGGGCTCGATCCCGGGACTCCAGGATCACACCCTGGGCCGAAGGCAGGCGCCAAACAGCTGAGCCACCCAGGGATTCCACTGTTTTTGCTTTAAGAAAAAGCCCACATGAACCCAGCAGAAACTCTTAGAATCAGAGCTTTCTAGGTCCTTTCGTCTCAGTATAGGCAGCTATAAGGCCCAATACTGGGGGCCTGCCTATCCTCCAGGGGACTTAGGTTTCCTTCTTGGCACTTGAACACAGTGGAGAGTTGGCTTTGGTGGCCGGAACATGAGTGGAAGGAAGGCAGGGAGGTACTGAGGATCTCTCTTCTCCAGTTCCTATAGAATGGAGGGTACACGTCCCCTACCCCAGCCCTGTCACTACCAGTTAAACACAAGTAGTTATGGCTTGTACATACCGCCAGTGCCTCAGTGTCACAATGAGCATGGCAGGCACACAGCACTTCCAGAGGGGCATACATGTGTTGGTGTGCCCCTGGCATCATAGGCGAGAGCGGAGATGAGGCTTCTTGTGGTTCTGTTTATGTACTCTCCTGAAGCTCGGTAGCCTTACCAGCCTCAACTTTGCAGCCTTCCGAGCAGAAACAAAACAAAGAAGGAGAAGAAAGAAGAAAGAAGATAGTACTGTGGCTGTGAAGGGTGCCTCCTTCTCCTAAGGACCTGAGAAGACTCATGTATTTTTTTAAAAAAGATTTTATTTATTTATTCATGAGAGACACAGAGAGAGAGAAAGGCAGAGGCACAGGCAGAGGGAGAAGCAGGCTCCATTCAGGGAGGCCGATGTGGAACTGGATCCCGGGTCTCCAGCATCAGGCCCCGGGCTGAAGGCGGCACCAAACCGCTGAACCACCCGGGCTGCCCAGACTCATGTATTAATTCACCCCTGAGGCCACAGGACTCTCACCATGCCCCCCCCCCCTCCCCGGCCAACACACACACCAGGAATCCCTGGCCCGTGATCTCCCCTGGAGCAAAGGCCGTAACAACCAAACGCAGCATGCCTGCCAGCTACAGCAGCAGGCTTTGCCCAGGATCCACAGATCACCAGACCTGGCCCTGAACATTTCTTGAATGTGAGCAACTTGGCAAACCACCAGAACCACTCAGTGTAGGTCTGACTATCCAGAACCTTCACTGTGCTTCTCTTTTCCATTCAGAATGCCTCCCCTCAGGTGGTAACAGAGGAGTAGCCCAGAGCAAAAATGTTCCTCTTCATGGAATAGGAAAGTCACTGTTCTGGTTTAAATATTCCTTCATTAAGGGCTGCCAGGCTAGAGTCCTCAAGGTGGTTAGGGTCAGGAAGCAAAGTGGAAAGATGGATCAGGAGTCGAAGACATGGCTTGTTGCCTGGTCTGGACCACTTAACAGTCGTGAGCCCTTGGACAAGTCACAAAACGTTTTGGGCTTCGGTTCCTCTTCTGCAAAATGGGCTGACACTGCTTGTTCCTCTCAGCTCAGATGAGGCAGAGAGAGTAGACCGGCTTGATGAGTAGCCAGGGAGTGCATCAGTCTTACCAAGAAGGATGGGGAGGGTTTGGTTTTAGAACTGAAGAGGTATATGGGGGAGAAGCCACTTTCTCAGGATCAGGATTCTGAGAGTTTGGGCTGGGCCTCTCCTCCCCTTCTTCCTGCCCCCACAGTAGTCAAAATGAAGTTCTCTGTGTTTCAGGAAGTTTCGTCCCTTCCACCATCAGTTTAAGTCCTTTCCTGAAATTTCTTTTCTGGGACCCAAAGATGCAAGCCCCTTTGAGGCCCTGATGACCCCGAGCATCTTGCATCATACCAGGTGGGTGTTCCTGGTCTGAGTACCTAGGGCTGGCTGCAGGAAGGGTCCTTCCCCCCGGGGAGTCTGCTGGTCCAATTTGGGAATGGCCATGTGTTCACTCCTGAGGCAAAGCCTGTTCAGGGAACTTCGCCCAGAGAAGAGAGATACTAGGAGTCTTCATCCGTTTTACTTGGTGTTCTCCATCCCTACTAAGGAATTTGACTTGTGTCCAGAGGGCAACAGGCTAGTTTCTGAAACTCAGATCTACACACCACCCTAACCAAAGTCCCCTGGGCTCCCATTAAAGATGTAGGTTCTCAGACTCCACATCTACAGAATCATGGTCTCTGATGATGGAGCCCCGAAAACTGCATTCTTATGAGCTCCACGGGTGATCTTTATGCACATCAGAATTGAGACCTTTGTAGCTAAACGTCAGGAATAACCTGGGGGCAGGGGATCTGGGGACCTACGACATTGTGTAGCTCCGAGTGGCTGGTAGGTTTGCGGGTGTTCCTTCTCTGCAGATGTGTGAGAATTTGAACCTTCACTGAGCAGAGGGCAGAAGGGATAATGGCTCGGGAGATGGACCCAGATGTCTTCTTGGACCTGTTCTAACTTCTGGATCACAGGGTTAGTTCACAGTAGAACAGGCCAGGCAGATTCCCAGCATGAGAGTTCCCAGGGCCAAGGAGGGCCTGTGGGTCCCCCCAGCAGACAGAGACCATGAACAAGCCGAGGTGACGGCCAGGTACCCCGCATACCTTTCCCAGAAGGTGCAGGGGACACCAGTGGGTGGTGTCAGGTCTGGGATGGCTGCAGATTGCAGAGGAGCAGAGGTTGTAAAAGAAAGATAGTGAAGCGTTGGGTGTCTGCATGGGAGAAGTATGGGGAGAGAGCGGCCCGGGGTCAGGGGCAGGATGGGAGGTTTGGGGGGGTGAGAAAATCTATGAGAGGAAGTGTTTAATTTTTTAAATTTAAAAGTGAGTAGTATACTTTGGTTCCAAATCCAAGAATTACAGAGGGTTTAAGGTGAAAAGTCTGTATTCCATATCTCCCCTCCAATCTCCAGATCGTGGCTGTGTCCAGAGAGAGTTTGTGTGGTCGGAAGTACATCACATATCCTTTGCTCCTCTTCTGTAAAGAGGGGTTGAACAGTGGCTGGGCTGGACCTAGCCTTTCCCACTTGATGTATCCTAAATGAACTTCCCATTAGTACCTAGAAAACATCCTCATTCCCTTTTATGGCTTCAAGGTCTTCCATTGTATGGTCTTACTGTGTTTTCTTTAATGAATCCCTTATTGATGGATACTTAGATTTTTCCAGGCTTTTGCTGTTATAAATAATGCTGCGGTGAATAGTCTTAGAGTGAATTTGTAGAATAAATTCCTAAAAGCAGAGGTGCTGGATCCAAGGGTTCCTGCATTTATAACGTTGATAAACACAGCCAAATTGGTTCTCACATCGTGCCTGGGCCTGTCACCTCCTGCCTGGGCTGCCACTCAGAGCTGTCCCCCGTGCCACCCTCCGCCAGCGTGCTAGGTTAAAAACTGTCTCTTGGTATGATCTGCATGGTCATTTTTTCTCATATGAATGAGGTTAAGTACATTCGTATGTTTGACTATTTGAATCTCTTTCTGTGTGAACCTTCTTTATATCATTCATCCATTTTTCTTTTCAGTCATTGATTGCTTTTCTTATTGATTTGTAAGGAGCCCTTCATGCATTAGGGAAACAAGCCCTCTGTGTTATTAATTATAAATACTCCTACACTCACACCCTGCCCTGTCTGTGATTTGTCTTCTGTTTACATTTTCTGCCATGCATACATTTCTTTAGATTGCATGTAGTTGAATTTATCAGCTTTTTTCTGTTTTCTGGGTTTTGCATCATGCTTAGAAAGCCCTCACAGGGAACTATTTTGGACTTTGTTGAGTTTGCTCAGACAGCCAAGCAGCCGCTAAAAATATGGGCCTGAAATTCAGACGAGAAGCCGGGTTCAAGAAAGAGATTAGAAAGTCCCCGGTGAAGGTGACAGCTGTGCACAGGGCAAGCCAGCGTGAGGGAGGAGACAGCCTGAGCCAGAGGAAGGGGACAGTCCAAGTAGGGGAGGCCAGGAACAGCACAGTCCCCTCACTGCCACCGAGGCCTTTCCCCTTTCATCCTGCAGGGCAGATGGACATAGGTTCAGATGTGAGCTCGAGCTGGAAGAGTCCTAGGAGGCCTTCTTGCTGCCACTGGCACCCGTCCTCACCTGTGCTTTGCAATGTTAGGGCAGGGACAGGACAGAGATCTCTCACCTTCCTCGTTGGCACTCCTGTCACCCCTGGACACCCGAAGTGTCAGCAGGCCTGCCAATGCCTGTCAGCCCCTCTGAGGGCCCCCACAGTGACTGCTTTCTTGCCCTCGCCCCCAACCCACGCTTTCTGCAGAGAACCCAAGGACCGAGAGCCAAGCCCGAGATCAGCCACCCGCACCCTGCCTAGGAGGAGGAAGGGCTTCTGTGAGTGCTGCCAAGAGGCCTTTGAGGAGCTCCATGCGGTGAGCCCTCCCTGCCAAGCAGCTTCTCCCGGGCTGCTCTGACAGCACCTTTCCCACCCAGCCTGCACCCCACTCGCATCCCACCCTGGTCTTGCCTAATGAATGCCCTGTGCCCCTCTCACCCTGGGCAGCATCTCTGGAGCACCCAACACCAGGGCTTTGCCTCGGAAGCCCACCCATATGCAGAAGTCGATCGGCTCATCGCCCAGCTCAGCCACAGCTTTGCTGATGCCCCCTTCCAGACCAGCCTGCCCAGGTGAGTGTTTCTTTTGCGGCCCTGCCGGCGAGGCAGGCGCAGCCACATCCTTGCTCTCGCTGCTGCCCGTTCTTGGGGAAAAGGAGCCCTCAGGCTGATGACGCCAAGGACCAGGCTGTGGCGCTTTTCTCCTAACCACCATCTTCCGTCCTGTTTCTTTCGGGGATTGGTGGGGGTTGGGAGCCCTCCATCTGTGGCTCCAGCTGACAGGGACTGGGCCCACACCAGCACGTTGCTCCTTCCTAATGCACAGGCATTGCAGTGCTTGTGGGGGTGGGGAGAGCAGTTCAGCCGTTGCTCTTGCATGTGCCTGGTAATGTGCCTGTGTGACCTTCTAGAAGCAGAGAAGGGAATTCCTGAGTCCCTCCCAGATGGGGATCTCTCTGCCGTTCTAGAAGTTACTCCCAGAAAGAAGGATTGCAGGGGGTTCTCCAAAATCCCAGAGCCCTCTGAGCTCACCTTCCCTGCTGCCGACCAAAGAGCTGTGGCTTCCCCTCTCAGGCCAAGTCTTTACCTCCCTGGGCTCAGCTTGGAAAGCCAGGCTTTGTGCTGCATTCTCTAGCCGCCAAAGGGCACAGCCTCCGCTGCAAAGTTATTAAATGGAACAGCCTCTAACCTGTTCCTCTGGCCAGCCCAGACCACAGGCCACAGAGCCAAGAGAGGTGTAGATAGTAGTGGCCGCTACTGCAGGGGCAGCCTGAGAACAGACCTTCCATAGAGCCCCAAAGTGGGCCACTCTCTTCACACCAAAACCCAGGAGGGCAGCACCATGGGTGCCCTGCCCCAGGAAGATCCCAACTTGCCGTGTGCTCTAAGGTGAGCCTTGAGGCCCACTGGATGCTTCTGTTTCCACAGGCAGCCAGGCTCCCCATCTTCAGATGGTGACCCTCTGTGGCCTGAGACTCTGCCTCCCAGCCAGCCCTCTCATCCATACAAGGCAGCATCTCCCAGTATGAAAGAGGAGGACAAGCACCAGGCCTCGGGCGCCGGAGAGCCAGATGGAACAGTGGATAGCATGAAGTCACCCACAGAACCTACGGAGACTGGCAAGATGCTGGGACCAGCAGCAAGCTACCAGGAGCTAGGGGGATCAGTTGATGTCATTGCAGACCCCCCAGGGACACCAGTGTCTAAGAGCCCTGTACACAAGTGCCTCCTGACAAGCTCTGGTTCTGCAGAATTCTCAGGCCTGGACATGGCACTTGTTGGCCACAAGCGGAAGGTTCAGTTCCCCAATGGCAATCCTGAAAAGAGGTCAGGGGTCTCTCAGCCACAAGCCTCATTCTTTGTCCCGAGAGCCAGTAGTCCTTGTGGCACCAGGACAACCAGTAGCAGGCCTCTCCTCTCCCTTCCCCTCCCAGGTCATGAGCACAGGCCTTTGACCTCCTTCCTCCCCTTGTGTCCCCCACAGACCTGCCTCTCTCCCCCGGACTCCTTCCCCTGGCAGCCCCCAGATAGGCCAGCAGAGTGCTGGGCCACACAGCCCCCTTGGCCTGGGGGAGGATGGCTCCCCGGGTCTGAGGAGTCTGAGCAAGCAGCCCCCGGCCCGTCCGCAGCTGGCTCCAGGCCAGCTGTCAGCCCATCTGCACTCGGCAGCTAACGTGCAGCCCACAGGAGGACCTGCAGAGAGCCAATCTACCTCTGTCCCCTGCCCTCTGCCAGCCAGTTGGGGGGGGGGGGGGCAGCTGTTCTCAGTGGTTCTAGGCCCCCTAACCTCCCTGTTTCCCAGCACTAGCAGAGAACTGCTCCTGTGAGTTCTCTGGGACATGCAGCAACTCTGGACTTGAGGGCCAGATACACCAGTACAAGTTCTACCTCTGCTGAGTACTGCACGCCCGGCCAGGGCAGACCAGACACAAGGAGGACAGCACCTCAGGGGCTCCCCACAAGAACCAGAAGAGCCCAGGGGGCCTGGCCTCTGAAGTCAAAGCAAACAGCTGTTGTCATGGCCAAGCTCTGTGGGGTCGACAGAGCTGGTCCACCCACTCCCTGGCCTTTGGGGTGGGACCAGAAGAGTCTGGGCTGGGGGCAGCCCTCTGCCCCCACCTCCAGCTGTGTCCCGAGCAGGCAGAGGTCTACAGTGGGCCCCTCTGTCCACGCCAGCCGCCCGCACCTGGAGGCAGAGGCAAAGTTGGCATGGGGAGGAACCACAAAGAAGCTAGGAGCAGCAGGATCCCCAGGCCTGGCTTCCTGTCCCTCTGTAGGCACTCGCCTCTTGCAGAGCCGGGTTTCGGTGCTCCCCACCCCCACCCCAGCCTCCTTTCCCAGGAGCATGTGGCTCTCCTGCTTTCTGAAATGCCTATTTGTCCCTTCCCCCAGCCCCCCACGCTCGTGCACACAGATCCTCAGGAACATATGAAGCAGAGGAGGGGCTGACTGCAGCACCTCCAGAGCTCCCTGGCCCCCACATTTGGTGGGAGCCCAACACTGAATGGACCTTTCCCCTGAGCCCAGGTTATGGCCAGATGGCCCCCTCTAGGGACCCCTCCACTCTTCCCTGGCTGCCCACCCCCCTCGAGCCATTTCTGCTGTTCCAGGGTCAGCGGTTCACCTGCCAACTTCTGCATCACCATCTTCCCTCCCTCCTTCCCTAAGGACCTCCCCCCATTTCTTTCAGCCAAGCCATTAATCTGCAGACAGAGATGGGTTTGCTATCGATTCTTTGGCCACTTTTTTTTTTTATTACATTTTGTGCTGTGGTTCTTCTCACCCTTCTCTGCCTCTGTTTGTTTCTTTAAATGTTGAAGCTACAAGAAGCCTGGTGCTATTCTGTGTCTCATTTTGGAGGAAGAAAGGGGGGCCTAGCTGTGGGTGAGGACCGGAGTTGTTACTTTGGAAATAGAGCAACTGTGTGTACAACCCTCATAGAGGTCATGTTTGGCCTTTTTATGCCATTCCTGTTAAACTTCACAATTAATCTTGGTTCGGAACTGTAAATAAATTTATTAATAACAAATAGCAGAGGATAAGGCTGGAGTGCAGTGTGTCAGGCCTCAGTGCACCATCCAGTGACCCAGAGCAGGGTGGCGGGCCCAGCATATATGGGCAGAGTGAGTGGCCAGCAGGATGGGTGCCCCCTGCAAGGGGGAAAGCATATGTCAGAGCCACCACCCTCCCCGGCCCAGTCCCTGAGGGCTGCATCTGTCCCATCTCCCCTGGTTGGTCACTACGTTCTGCTGCCCACTGAGTGGTCGCCTACGGAGAGCATGCCCACAGCCCACTGCTGAGGAAACTCCTTTGCCCTTAGGAGCCTTCCTGCAAGGGGCCCCCTCCCTTATCCCCATTGCCTCTCCCACAACACCGCCACTCTGGCTGAGAAGTTTTCCCCACTCCTTCAGACCTCCAGGATATCCTGATGTGCTGCTCAAAGACCAACGCACCCAGTGTCAACACCCTCCTCACCATCTGCCCAGGACCTCCCAGCCGACTGGCCTTCCCCTCCCATCTCAAACAATCATGACCTTGGACATCACATCTCAGCCAGGCCAAGCCCCAGGGTTGTCTCCCCGTCTGCATTTTGGTTCCAGCACTCAGGATACACATTTAGAAGGGACCCCAGGACACCTGAGACCTGAGCTAGGACAGACCTGGGGATATTCAAACCCCCTTCCACTCTTCCACAGATGACCTTGACTCAGACTCTGCAGGCACTGCCTCCCCCTGCTCTCCGTCCCCTTCCCACATCAGACTCTTGCAAAGGGAGCAGTGTCCTTCCTTCCAGTCACCGTCACTGCTCCCTGCTCCGCCCCCCCCCTCCCTTCAAACCTGGTCAAATTCCTTCTCGGATTTGCCATCTCTTCTTCCCTCTGCCCTAAAACTCCATCCTGGAAGACACTTGCATTGATTCAGCAGGCTCCCCCCTGCTCTCCAGCTACTTCCTGTGGTCTCCAGCCACTGCCTCCATGTCTGCACCTCCTTGCCCTTCCAAACCCACGGAGGCTCTGCCTGAAGCACTCCACTGGGCTTGTCTGTCCCAAGGTCACCGGAGAACCTGATAATTACCAAAGTCAGGTTCCTCTTTTCCACCTTGAAACCTGGCTCCCCTGCTCCGTGACCCGCATCCCCCCCCCCCCCCCCCCCCGCTGGCCTGGTCCTTCCCTCCGCCAGCCTCTGACTTCTACACCAGCCTCGTTAGGCACCAGCCTAGATGTCTGCCCTGAGCCGGCTCCTAGAGCCCTTACCCGCCCTCCAGCACCCCTGCTACCTCTACCTGGGCCTGGGACCCTTGTCCTCACCTCTGTACACTTCGCAGATGTGACCCGAGTTAGTAGCGCCACCCCTGACTCCCTTCTGAATTCCACTCTTCACTGTGCTGGGTGGGGAGGCACCCCGACTCCTGCCGTGACTTCGAGGAGTCCCTTTACTACTCTGGGCCTCGGTTTCCTTGTGTTTCAGTGAAGGGCCCTGCAGGCTCCATATTCTCCAAGGACCCTGTAGTGTATGCCTGCAGGCTACACAGGCCCAAGTTCACATCCCAGTCCTGCCTGTCACTGACCTGGGGCAAGGTTTCTGAGACACTTTTCTTAATATGAAGAATGGAGATAAAAGAAAAAAAAATGGAGATAATGGTAGTTTTTGCCTCACTAGGAAATCTTGAGACATCTGTTAGGTTATAAACACTAGAACACATTACAAACACAGCAAACTTTTGATCCGCCCACCCCTCAGACCCCCTGCCCAACACATACCTGTGAGGCTTCTCCAAACCCTTCGATAGAGCTTCTTTTCACTAATATACCTTGTGACCCACAGCCCCATATCCAGTGTGTGTGCGTGTGGCTGAAGCTGCTAAGGGGCTCAGTGAGACACACAGGCCCCAGCCCCCGCCACTTTCCAACAGCTGAGGATCCCATGCGTGGGGGGAAGGGGGCAAGGGCATGGGTGCCACATTTCCCCAACCCTGGTGTGTTCAGCCCTTGGGAACATGACATTTGTGCACTCCAAGCCTCTCAAAGGATAAGTGTCCTGGGAACCCCGGTGCCTCCAATTCCTCCCTGAGCTTCAGAGGCTGAAGGAAGGCTTCCCAAGGACCACTGAGGGAGGGACTTCCCTCAGGAGAGCTATCGGCAGGAAGAGTGGCTCTCTCCTGGTGGAGAGGACGGGGCGCCAGGCTGGGGTCTTCTGATCCCGAGGCTCTGGGCATTTGCTCTGCTCTCCCCCACCCACAGCAACAGGTCAGCAGGCATCTCTCCATGTGCTGGGTGGAGCACCCCGATGAGGCCCCAACCCACAGTGGGGTCCTGTGGGTCCAGGACAAGAGTCAGGAAGCCAGTTTTCTCCTTGGCACCTTTAGGGTCGTAGAGACAGTGTGAGCCCAGATCAAGTGAGCTTTCTGTGCACCGGCCCGGCTCTGAGCACTTAAGACCAGCCACTCATTTAGCCCCCAGCAGCGCTGTCAGGAAGGGCCTTTCTACCCCCATTTCACAGATAGGAAACAGGCTCAGGGAGGCTGGGAGACTTGCTCAATGTCACACAGCCCTTCACCAGGACTAGGACACCAGCTTGCTGCCTGGAGCCCTAATACCCGCTCTTTGCGGGGCACCACCCTGCCCTCACCCAACATGGTCTCTGCTACAGGCCTTGCAGCCTGGGCATGGGGCCTGGCGGCCTCTGTTGGCAGGAATCACAGCCCCATGTCTTCCGGGATGGAGTTTTTGGGCAGAAGGAAGGAGGGGGGCCGGGGGGCAGCAGACTCGCCTCCCTCACCTGCAGCTGCTGGGACTCCGTCTTGGCCCCGCATCAGCCCGGCTTGGCCCCCGTGCAGAAAAATGTGAGGGAAGAACTGGCTGAAGGGCAGGACTTCGGGGAAGGAGACCCCAGGCCTCTTGGTGGTAGAGGCTCCTGAGGGAGGGCTAGGGCTGGCGACCAGAGCCTACCAGCTCCCTCAAGCAGGGCTCACCCAGAGGGTAGCATCAAGATGGAATAGTGGCCCCCGCCTCTGATGTCCAGAGTCCTGTCCTCCTCCTGCAAAAGAAATGGGCAGAAGAGATCAAAGGAGCCCGGCATAGCTGTGGCACTGGGGTGACGATTCTCCCAGGCACCCCTGCCTCTGCAGCTCTTGAGTTCAGGAGAGGAGGTAGGGGAGAGAAATGGGAGAGGTGGGGGATCCCTGGGTGGCTCAGCGGTTTAGCACCGCCTTCAGCCCAGGGCATGATGCTGGAGACCTGGGATCAGGTCCCACGTTGGGCTTCCTGCAGGGAGCCTGCTTCTCCCTCTGCCTGTGTCTCTGCCTCTCTTTCTTTCTCTCTCTCTGTTTCTCATGAATAAAAATCTTAAAAAAAAAAAGAAAAGAAAAGAAAAGAAAAGAAAAGAAAAGAAAAGAAAAGAAAAGAAAAGAAATGGGAGAGGTGTAGCTTGTAGCAGAACTGGAGGGGGGCACCTGGGTGCCTCAGTGGTTCAGTGTCTCCTTTCAGCTCAGGTCATGATCCTGGAGACCTGGGATCCAGTCCCACATCGGGCTCCTGGCATGGGGCCTGCTTCTCCCCCTGCCTGTGTCTCTGCCTCTCTCTCTCTCTCTCTCTGTGTCTCTCATGAATAAATAAATAAAATCTTTAAATTAAAAAAAAAAAAGATACCAGCTGGGCCTGCTTAAAGCTGCAAACCCAGGGAAAGGGGCTGTTGGGGGTCAAAGGGCCACACAGTTGAGCCATCATTGGAGCTGGCTCAGGATGCCAC